AAGGGTCTTGGTGTAATGAAAATCAACTTGATGTATAAAAAGTACTGCTTGATCATGAAAAAATGCAACTTGAAGTTTTGTCACGTTTGGGCTAGCATACTGAGGAAAAAACCTTTGCCGAAATGTTCAAAGCCAGCTTAGTGATATATTAACGTCTCATTTTGAATGATGCAACCAAGGTTTATTGATATTTTTACACTAGACTGACTTTTGACAAGTCGGTCGTGGATTTAAAGTCTTAAACGGTACCTTTTCTTGTCTGAGAAGGGCTTTATTTGTAGATCCAGTTTGACAGCATAACGGTAAAAGATTTCCTTCAGCATGACTTTAGTTTTTAGTCGTTTTGGTCTTCAGAACTCGTAAAATATTTCCTTTTCCTCTCTTTCTGCTTGTTGTTCCCTAAAACTGGAACCAAATGTTTCTTTAAGTGTGATATTTTGTTATCTTTAAAGCAAATTTCTATAAAAATTAAGGTGCACGAAAACTTTCTACCTAAACAAAGATGGCGGCCAAAACAACTATGCTCTGACGTAAGCGACCCAAAGAGGCCTGGTACCGAAGTAGTTCATTTTTCACTTTTTCGCTTTTTTTTTTTAAGTCTTCAAATTGTACTTTATCAAAAAATATATAACCAATTTAGACCTTACACCAGAATGAAAATTAAAAAGATTACCAATTTACGTACATACATTCAGCTCTCGGTAATTTTACAGCCTTTATATTTTCTCTAATTTTTTCTCAAACTAACGCTGGCTAAACAAATTCTTTAACTTTCTACTACTTTCAGATATAAATCCCGGTACGACACATTAATCACCCTCCACAAGACCATATTTTTTAATAACCGTATTCATGAGCAACAACACTTCTTAACCTGGCATCGTTGGTACATCCTCACCTATGAAAACCTACTCAGAGAGGTTGACTGTAGAGTCACCGTACCTTACTGGGACTGGAGTGTAGTTTCTGGAAGTCCTTGGGGCACATCAGCATCAGACGTTTGGTATGCAGGAGACAGTGGTATGGGAGGTGACGGCACAACAAGAGAAAATTGCGTTACTACCGGTCCATTTAGATTAGGCGTCTGGGAACTTGTGCCTTCAGCACCGCGTCCTCGATGTTTGAAGAGGAGTTTCTTTGGTAATCCCCCAGACAGTGCTGCTGTGGCAGACCTAGTAAAACTTCCTGCCTCACGGTTTGAAGACTTCGAGGTAACGTTAAGAGTCAATTTGCATGACACGGTACATTGTTTGATCGGTGAAACCATGTGCACTACTGATGCTGCAAGCGCTCCGGAGTTTTTCTTGCACCATGGAATGGTCGATAAGGTATGTTCACTGTCAAATGTGCTCTCTGTATCTACGCTTTTCATCAGATAGTATGTCATTCACTTGCATTATGGAGTCACTACCACTACCAGACTCCGTTGCATACTTTCTTTTGTTCAGTTAGTTAGCACCGATTGACTCACTATTCTCATAAAGAAATACAAATTTGAATAAGAAAGAAAATTCGCGAAGCATTTTGGTAGGGGATGTCAAATGGTGCCATCATCAGACGACCTATTAACACAACAATTTGGAAGCCATGTTATGGTGTATTGCTAATGCGCATGCGCCGCTACTCACCGCTGTGCATTGTCATCATGGTTCGTGGTGAATGGATTTGCCATTAAATGCCGAGCAGAGTGTTAGAAAAGCGGGTTAATCAGCCAGGAATACTGCTTCATAACAAAAGTTGTTTGTTGGTTCTTTCTTGTGCTTTGAGGGCTTTTACTCCGGGTTCTCTGGTTTTCCTCCCTTCGCATAAATCAACTTCTAAATTCTCATTTAAATTCCATTATCATGGAACGAGGGCCAGAGGTTTGTCAGCCACTGGCACTGGCTATTAAGTGCTACTTTAATAAAACCTTCGCTACTTTTTATCATACAGATCTGGACAGATTGGCAAAAGAACAGTAATTCTCATCGGACGGTATTTTTCCCCTCGGTGAATGAGGAACTTCCAGGAACAGACGGTCGTCTTCCCAGCCAGTTTGTCGATAACGCAGCGTTACCAGGAGGAGTCAGGGTGGAGTATTTACCAATTAGTGGTTCTGTAGCTGCTGATGTCGTAAATCGACTAAGAGGTAAGGACAACTGAAGGTGTTTTGAGGAAAAACAACCAAATTATCATGTCCTGAACAATGATATCATAAGGTTTATTACTTACTGTTGTGTTCCACTATTGATTATGCATCAATAAACCTATTTGCCTTGTGTGTAATATTTCTAAATTTCAGGCGACGTGTCATTATCTTTAAAAAAATTATCTGTTTGAGATGCGCAACCAATAAACAAAAAAGTAATACTCTAGAAAATGACACGTGGTCTGATCATTGAAAAGAGAAAAATTAGGCCTAAGGCCCCGTCCACACGTATCCGGAAATTTTTGTATCCGCAAATTTATTTTTACGGATACAGGTTGCGTCCACACGTGTCCGCAAATTTTTGTGTCCGTATCCGCAAATTTTACGAAAGCGGACTACGTGTGGACGGTGAAAACGATTCGAATACGCTGCGTGTGGACGCAAACATTTTCGTATCCGCAAAAAATAATTTGCGGATACAAAAATTTCCGGATACGTGTGGACGGGCCTAAGGTAACGAGGTCTATATGATGAGAAACAACAAAAAAAGGTATGCACAACCAAGCATAATAATTGTAATGACAGGAATATCACCTACGATAATAACAAAATTAAAAATAACAATAACATCACCGACACCAGACTGGGAAAACGACGTCTATTACAACAGACGCGACATTAGATTAAACAGACTGCAATCACTTTGCACAAATAAAAACGCATTTGTTCAAAGAAATTTGAAATAATGTGCGCCCGTAGATTTAGTGCTAATTCATCTACTTTCAACCCCTTTTCAGCTTTAAGTCCAGAACAAATAAAAATGATTCCTCGTGAACGGTTTAGCAGCATTGACAGCCGTGCGATAAACCTGTTTAAAGTCAGCGCAGAAGATCAAGCAAGAGCCAAGAAAATGGACAGCGAAATCCAACCTGAACAGGAAATGATTCCACCATCGGAGGCTTCGGTTGTAGATAAGAAACTTGGTTTTGACCATAACGTTGTAGTAAAATGAGATAAATTTATAAGTACATTAACTAACAAATAAAAACAGCCTCCCTTTCTGTGCTTTGTTCAATAATAAAGCACGTACTAAGCAGCGTAAACCCGAAGAGAAATGTTAAGAGAGACACACGAGCCATAGGCGAGCTTTTCAAACTTCTTGCATGCTTTCGGCGCTTTCTAAATCGGTGCTTTATTACTGAACGGAGCACGGACAAAAAAGTGGTTATATTAAGACATCGGGATAGCTCACTCTAGTTGGTGGTTTAGCTGCTATTAAGAATATCAATGCGCCTTGCACTTTCACAATGACATAGACTCACAGAGTCAACCCACCGCACACAGCCACACGCACGTGTATCTAACACGCTCCGCAATATATAGACTTCGAGTTTGTAATCAAATAGCCAAATGTATTGAAGAAGGGGGGAATAAACCATAAACGTAGAACTGTGCGAACGAGTATCAAGTGTTTGTTGATGGATGCAATCCACTCCCTCGATCTTGTCATTATCAGTCCTCGTACCTAGACTCCCACGGTATCTGTCCTCTCGGAACCCTCAAGTTTTTTTAGAGCGCTGAAATAAATTCTGATGGGATCTAATTAAGGGAACGGCGGGTCAATTCACAGACTGGGATGAAAACCTCAGAGCCCAGATAAATCGTTGCGGAATTGGTGTAAAGACTGAAAGAGAACAAAGGAACTCTACTAAGATCACGTGTGAAGCTAAGGTCAGGAACAATACCCAATTACCCTAAAGTTCATTTCTTTTCAAGAAACTCTTTTGGCTGAAGAGTTCGTGCTAAAGAATTTCGGTATTCAACCATAAAGCAAATCAATTGCACGCTAGGAGAATATATTTTATATTCAACATTAACTATCAGCCACGGAGTCTCTCAAGGATCTATCCCTGGCCCTATGCTTTTTACGCTGTCAATGAACGATCTGCTAAACCTCGTTCTTCACAGTAATTTGGAATGGAATCGTACGATGGTGGCGCTAAGCTCTATCTGTCGTTTTCTTCGAATTCAAACGCCGAAGATGGAATGACCAAGATGTCAGAAGATCTTCATCAAGTTGCTTCTTAGTGAGCTTGGCCGACTTTCAGTAAACAATGCTCTTGTTCTACGCGATTTGGTTGTGGTGTTTAAATGCCTATATGTCCTTGCTCTACCTTATCTTAGTACTGAATTCATGAATATACATTCGCGCAATACTAGACACAAAGATGACATATACTTTATAACAGGAATTATTTAAAATGACGAAGCTAGATGTCAATAAACTGATAAACAATCTCAATCTACAGATAAATGATTCTTAATTGATATCATTGATATTTATTACTCATTAGATTAATATATAATATTATCACATTCGACTTGTAATCAGTTGTTAAGCTTAAAATAGTTTGCTTGTGTAAATTAGTTCTGAAAAGATCGTTTGGGAGCAACTAATCGGTATATTGTATTATCATACCTTACAAAAAATCTTCCAATCACATCTCCGTATTTTCGCCACGTGGCGATTCATTATTTCGCGATATTGGGCAGCATATTGGATTGTAAATATATCTATTTTTATGGCACCATAGTGGTCTTTTTTTGGAAAAACAAATTGTTCGTAATAATAAAACACGTATGGTATTCATCCTCGTCCATTATGGCAGATATTAATTATAAGTCTCGACTTTAATATTGGACCGAGACCGCATAAGTGTATATGGTATATCTTACGGTTGAACCAATTTTCAAAATTGAAGGTCTGCGAATCTTCCTATTTGCTGAATAGCGTGATTATTCCCTGTTTTGATACCAGGTTGTTTTAAAAATGAGCCAATTGAATGAACCAAGTGACTTATGTAAGCCATGCTTGGCTAAGTCTTTCGACAATTGTAAGGTTATTTTTGAAGTAAAGCTTGAACACTGATATTTGTCTATATTTTTAATCTCTTCAGAGTCGACTCTGAGAGCAGTGGAGTTTGATTAATATATTGTGCGATTTTGGAATAGGAAGACTTAATATTTATTTCAAATGGTGAACAAATAAACTTGAAAGTCACTGGACTATATCTCTTCGAATAAGGAGCTCTTCCATAATGGCTCTCTCTTCTTTTCAATTGACGTAATACAATTATTTTCACCTTCAGTGGAGTGCAACCACGTGACTCAAAATCCTTTGTAACTTATATATATATTATCATGTTGTAGTTTCATCTAATGATAACTAATAATGATTGATGCTTTGTTTTCGTTAACCAATATGGCGGCTATGACGTAGCCTGCTTCCCAATAATATTGAACCTAATAATAAATTAATAGTGCACTAGTGCATGTTTACTTCTTGTAAAAACTTTTCATCTTTCCAGTTTTTAGATTAAAGTTTATAGACTTATGTAGAGGAAAAAAGACTATTCAATGTCATTGAAAAGGCCGAGCATCGTGTAGCTCAGAAGAGGATACCATATATCCTTGAAAAACTTTGTAAGAAATTGCACAAATTTGCAGAAATTAGTAAGTTCAGTAGACCGTAGTAAAACGAAACTTTGCACGAATTTGCACAATTTTGTTAGTTAATTTTTCACTGATATATGGTATGCACTCTAATTCAAAGAGCAGGATGGCATCATATCAAAATTAAAAACAATAACATATTCTGAGATATTTTAATATATTTAAAAGTCTGTCTATATCGTTCATCGCTCAACAAAGTTATCGGAATGCGGAGAAATGTTTAAAGCACTCGAATAATTAAAATGAGATGTGAAAATGTCCTTCATGACGCACAAACCTTTTTGTTCCAAACACCGTGGTAGACGCAGGGATTTCCACAAGAATGAATACTCCAGTACATCCATTAATATACCTCGATAGATCATTCTAGTTCATTGACTTCGGAATAAGTAGCTTTCTTGATACGTCTGCGTTTTGTTTTCTGCGGATGAGCTGTGGCTGTATAGGAAGCCGTTATCGATAAAAAGGTAACAATGACTTTGCACTTACGACTAAGCATAGGTTTCTAAGTATAGATATTGAATTATGGGCAGCCAGGTTAGTTTTAAAGCCAGGTTAATTTTGAAGCCAAATTAGCGCTGATCATAGGTTAATTCTTATATGAAGATTTTAGATTATAGGAATGGCTGTAGGACAATCGAAACATATCTAAATCAAAGCTTTAGTCCTTATTTATCAAGATTTTAGTTGCTTTGGAAGTTATTGTTTCTGTTTTCCAATAAGGTTCAAAGGTTGTTCAATAAAGCATACATTTGATTGCTTATGACGGAAATATAGCAATAATAAAATATAATCTAAATATATAGAAGTAACAGGAAAGAGTCAGCTGAAATAATTGATAAATAAATCATAATTTTCTTTTCCAGGTGAAATGGCGCCGAGTTGGGAGAGGATTCTGATTGTATTTGTCATTTGTTGCTACAACGTTGTCGTAGGAATATGTAAGTTGTTTTCAAACTTTCAAGCAACATCTTTGTAAACCTTAGTAAAACATTGTCTCATCTACGGTATCATTACGATAAGATTATATATTTCTGAATTATAAATAAATAGTGGGTGCCAGGTTAACCAGATCGTTATTTAGAATTGCTATATTCTATCTTACAGATGTCTCTCCTATTTTCGACATTTACGAACAATGGGGATCGTGGGGTGAATGTTCGCCACCATGTGGCGTTGGATTGAGATTTCGATACCGGAACTGTAAAGACTGGAATAGTTATCCCTGTACGGATGTGTGGCAAGCCAAAGCCTGTCGGGTGAAAGTCTGTCCAGTCCACGGGAAATGGTCTTCTTGGAATTCCTGGACCCGTTGTCCAGTAACATGTGGTAGTGGTGTCCAATCGCGAACACGTGAATGTACAAACCCAGCACCAGCTAATGGTGGACGTAACTGCGAGGGACCTAGTTCAGAAACACAAATATGTGCCACAAATGCGTGCCCGGTTAATGGGAATTGGACAGCATGGAGTTCATGGGACTCGTGTTCTGCTACGTGTGGTGGAGGCAGCCAATCACGAACACGCGCGTGTACAAACCCAGCACCTTCCAATGGTGGATGTAACTGTGAGGGACCTAGTTCAGAAACACAAGTTTGTGCCACAAATGCATGCCCAGTTAATGGGAAATGGTCTTCTTGGAATTCCTGGACCCGTTGTCCAGTAACATGTGGTAGTGGTGTCCAATCGCGAACACGTGACTGTGGACGTAACTTTGGACGTAACTGTGAGGGACCTAGTTCAGAAACACAAATTTGTGCCACAAATGCATGCCCCGTTAATGGGAATTGGACAGCATGGAGTTCATGGGACTCATGTTCTGCCACGTGTGGTGGAGGCAGCCAATCGCGAACACGCGAATGTACAAACCCAGCACCAGTCAATGGTGGACGTAACTGCGAGGGACCTAGTTCAGAAACACAAATTTGTGCCACAAATGCATGTCCAGTTAATGGCAATTGGACAGCATGGAGTTCATGGGACTCGTGTTCTGCCACGTGTGGTGGAGGCAGCCAATCGCGAACACGCGAATGTACAAACCTAGCACCAGTCAATGGTGGAAGTAACTGCGAGGGACCTAGTTCAGAAACACAAATATGTGCCACAAATGCATGCCCAGTTAATGG